GTGGAGACCAATAATGGCTCCCAGAACCCTAACTATGTTACCACCTAATACTTCCTCTTGCTGGGGCGCTGCATATTCTCTCAGTATTTCACTTATTGGGTGAGCTTCAGATTCAGGAGTGGAAAAGAGAAAAGAAACAAGTTTCATTCAACTCTTTTAGAAAAAAGGGATTCCTAATATGCAACAGTTTGCTTTTTAAGAGAACAAGTTGATACGTGAGAAAATGTTTTTAATGCTGCAAAAGTTTCTAAGGTTAACTACTTGCTATCACTTTCACTAGAGCAAGGCTAATTAAAAGAAATCATTAGTCTCATAACTAATTTTTGCTTCCATATACTATTTTAACATTTCTAAGAATAAAGTTTGTATTTCCTTATGTATTTTCTTTATTATTAAGATGACAATGATTTTCAAGATTTATAGTTTACCAAGTCAAAAATAAATCAAGGTTAACTAAAACTTAGTAAATCAGATGTCATAACTGTCCTCAAATCACATGGCAATTTAGATTAAAAGACCTATATTTCTTAGTATGAGAGATGGGGAAAAAATCTTAGAAAAGCAAGTTACTGAGTATTATCAATACACAAATTTACTTATCTTCAACACTTTGAACTTTAAATATGTTAGAGGAAACTTATCAAACTTAAAATGGTTATGGCAAGTTTCAAATTTGTGAAATTTAATGTGCAGACAAATATTTAAGTTTTAACCTTAAATTACACTCAAAATTTGGTAATGAATGGACACATGATCTGAGTTTGCCCTATTGAATTTAAACCTTTTAGCTTTGTTGTGATAGAATCACATTCATTTTATGCAGTGATCAAAGAAAATTGTCTCACTCAATGTCTCATGAGTTGTATACTTAGAACAGGAGATTAATATTTAAAAAGCATCACAGAAGTATAATAAATTTAAGTAAATAAGAATTATTCCTTGAGATAACAAGACATCTATAAAATATGTATCGTTTTGTTTTATAACAGCGATACAGTGTACATATACATACTGACTAGAGACCGGACTTTTCTGCCTGACTCTTCATTGTCTTCACAAGTTAGGGAACAGAAATCATAAAAAACAAAATTATCAAATGATTTAGATGCCTAAACAATATTTAACAGTTATTGATAAATTTATATCAGCTTATGTAAATTTCTAATTAAAATCCTTTCACAAAGGAAAACTGAGATGATATTATCTTAAGTTTTTACCTGAATTTAACAAAGGCTTAGATTGATATATTACTTTGAATACATTAATTCTGAAAATTCATAGTAAGTTCTACTTTATAACTTTTTTCCCTTAAGGATAGGATGTGAGGTACATGTCAGCTGGTTTCTACAGTATGAATGTTATGCAGATATATAAAAGATGGTTGTAAAGGAGTATTTTGCAAATAAAGCACATTACACACAAAATATAAATAACTTCCCTTTAAAAAGTTGCTGAGAATAAAGATACAGAACACCATATTAGGCACTTACATTGCTATCAAATGCAGTAATTTACTTCAATAAGAAGTGCTTTCTTTATGAACATGGTTCATTGTATTGGGAGCTCCAACTTTGGATGGGATGCTTTCCACGACAAAAATAACTACCCAAAAAATGATGGCCGTGGAAGGAAAACAGTCCAATTATAGACACTTTAAACTTCTTTTGGCTTTTATATCAACTTTTATGTTAAAAAATAAAGTTGGTTGGCAACTATCTCACTTGCAAGGTAAATGGCTTTTTACAAGATTGGCAAATCTTGGTCATATATTGCATTTTAAAGCACAAAACCACTGGCCACCAATATCTTCCTGTGTGTTCATAAATTATTTTCTTCTAATTCAAATGGCAGCAGAGGAATCCTGGTGTGCACAGATACACTCAACACGATCACGGAAGGCATGACAAACTACCATAAACTAAGCAGTATCCCAAGCAGATCATAATCTACAGGCTGTTTTACAAAGGTAGAATACAAACAGATTAAATTTTCTCAGAAGGCAAAAGTAGTATTTTCCATTTCTGCTGAACTTATTATCTTCTTATGGCTTTCACAGAAAGCACCATTTTATGAACAGGCAATTCAGTACCCGGAGTTTGCTGGAGACTTATTAATCAGGATAGAGGTCTTGATGCAGTTCATAAAAACCTAATAAAAAAAAAGGCATCAAAAACCACATTTAAAATAAAGCTGTCCATATATAAAGAATGAAGTGTTTAGAAGAAGTTCCCAGCTTGTAGTCTAATAAGAGTACTGAAAGGTTTAATATTAGCAGCCTGTGAATGTGTACTGAAGAAAGAGTCTGAGAACCAGTTAATATCCTTCGTCGACTCTAATTCCATCCGTTCCTTGGGTAAAACATTCTTGCAGTCTGGAGTTTCTCCTCATAACTGTTTAAGTATCAAATCTTTACATCTTGGGATTCAACCATCTTGGCAAGTGTCTTCTTGATTCTCAATGCTGTCAGTCTGGAGGCTGGATTGTGGGCCCAGCATTCTGACATTAGCTTTAAAACTGCTCGCAGACACTGAAAAGTACAAAGAATGTAGTGAGGAGATAGTATCTTTGGTGACATTTACCAATCACTTCCCCAGGGCATTGAGTTCCACTTACTTCATCACTGTTCCACCGATTAGATACAATTGGCCGCAAACGTTTGACACACACAACTTCACGCATATCTTCGTATGATGGATCGCTGGTACCATGTTGTAATATGGCAACTGGTACTCTTCTACTATTCCTGTAGGGAGTGGCAAAACACAGTGGGCATAAAAGCGATGGCTGGACAAAATACACCAATGTATTCCGCATCGTCTGTGAACTATGGAACCAAAACTCACATAAAGAAAAATACACACTGGATGATCCACTTCTTTTTTTTTTTGAGACAGAGTCTCACTCTGTTGCCCAGGCTAGAGTGCAGTGGCATCTGCCTAGCTCACAGCAACCTCAAATTCCTGCCTCAGCCTCCCGAGTAGCTGGGACTACAGGCATGCACCAACATGCCCGGCTAATTTTTGTGTGTGTGTGTGTGTGTGTGTATATATATATATATTTTTTGAGACAGAGTCTCGCTTTGTTGCCCAGGCTACAGTGAGTGCCATGACATCAGCCTAGCTCACAGCAACCTCAAACTCCTGGGCTCAAGATCCTTCTGCCTCAGCCTCCCGAGTAGCTGGGACTATAGGCATGCGCCACCATGCCCGGCTAATTGTTTCTATATATATGAGTTAGCCAATTAATTTCTTTCTATTTATAGTAGAGACGGGATCTCGCTCTTGCTCAGGCTGGTTTCGAACTCCTGACTTCGAGCAATCTGGTCACCTCGGCCTCCCAGACTGCTAGGATTATAGACATGAGCCACCGTGCATCCGGTCTGTATATATTTTTAGTTGGCCAATTAATTTGTTCCCATTTTTAGTAGAGACGGGGGTCTCGCTCTTGCTCAGGCTGGATTCGAACTCCTGACCTTGAGTGATCCTCCTGCCTCGGTCTCCCAGAGTGCTGGGGTTATAGGCGTGAGCCACCGCGCCTGGCCATGATTCACTTTCAATAGTAAATGTATGTTTTCCTCTTCTTTATACCCAATTATTTCCTCTACCTCCACCAGTGGGCCCCATTACAACTGTGATAGAGTCCATCAACAAAGGGGATATCAAAATTTCTTTAAAAAATGGACAATGAAATTATTTATTTATCCTAAATTTTAAATTAATTACTTACATGATTGTTCCTACTAATGAATATGGTTATTTTTTCCCCCTGAAACAGAAAGGCTTACCATGATGTGCAGATAAGAGTTTACACTGCAGGCTTGGGACTGCTCTACCTAGAAAGGCCTGCTTGCAGGGTTGGCCCTTGCCCAGTGTCTGGGACCCTGAATGGTAAACAGTTCTCTACATGGACATAAAACTTTCTTTTTTTTTTTGTTTTTGAGACAGAGTCTCACTTGTTGCCCAGGCTAGAGTGAGAGCCATGGCGTCAGCCTAGCTCACAGCAACCTCAAACTCCTGGGCTCAAGCAATCTTTCTACCTCAGCCTCTCGAGTAGCTGGGAATACAGGCATGAGCCACCATGCTCGGCTGATTTTTTCTATGTATATTAGTTGGCCAATTAATTTCTTTCTATTTATAGTAGAGATGGGGTCTTGCTCTTGCTCAGGCTGGTTTTGAACTCCTGATCTTGAGCAATCGGCCCGCCTCGGACTCCCAGAGTGTTAGGATTACAGGTGTGAGCCACTGCGCCTGGCCTGGACATAACACTTTCTAAAAATGATAAGGGTGGCTTGCAGTTCCTAAAATGTTTGTGCAAACAATGTGGTGCATGCTGAACATCTGCTTTCCTTCTGGGAGTCTGGAATTTTGGTACGTGCCAGGCAGAGGATGCTTATGTGACCAACTTCCAGTAAAATCTATGGGTACTGAGTTCCTAGTGAGCTTCCCTGGATGACAACACTTCCCACGTATTGTCACAACTCGTGGGAAGACTTAAGTCCATCCCCTGTGACTCCACTGGGAGAGAACTTTTGGAAGCCATGTCTAGTTTTCTATGAACTTTGCCCCAGACACCTTTTCCCCTTTGCTGAATTTTATTTGAATCCTTTCACCGTAAAAAATCTTAGCTGTGAAGACAGCCATATGCTTGAGACCTTTGAGTCCTTCAAGAGAAATTATAGAACCTGGGAGTGTTCTTGGGGAACCCTGACATTATATAAGCTAAATTATATAACTGGAGCTAGAGTTTCTTATTTTAAAAAAAATGATTTTTCTTTTAGAGATGGGGTCTCACTATGTTGCCCAGGCTGGTCTCAAACTCCTGGCCTCAAGAGATCATCCTGCCTCAGCCTCCCCAAATGCTGAGACTGTAGGTATAAGCCACTGGCGCTGGGCATGGAGCTGTTATTTTTTAAATGAGGGGTAATATGCCGAAATAAAAAAATAAATAAATAAATGAGGGGTAAACAAACATAATCAGAAACATACCACTCAAGCTCTTACCTCCTGTGATACAACGACGAGCCATTTCCCATATGATCAGGCCAAAGCTATAGATGTCAGCCATTATGTAGGGCTGGAAATGGTTTTTATTTAGGCTTTCATCTAGCACTTCTGGAGCCATGTAGCGTTTGGTGCCCACCCTGGTATTCAAAGGTACATCAACTTCATTTGTATCACTGAAAACAGAAGGAAGACAATGTCCAGGTTTAGGGCCAAGAACAAAATATTTCTGTCATACTTCATAAAAGCTTCTCTCTTTCTTTTTTTTTTTTTTTTTTGAGACAGAGTCTCACTTGTTGCCCAGGCTAGAGTACTATGGCGTCAGCCTAGCTCACAGCAACCTCAAATTCCTGCCTCAGCCTCCCAAGTAGCTGGGACTACAGGCATGCGCCACCATGCCCGGCTAATTTTTTTTTTCTATATATATTAGTTGGCCAATTAATTTCTTTCTATTCATAGTAGAGACGGGGTCTCGCTCTTGCTCAGGCTGGTTTCGAACTCCTGACCTCGAGCAATCCGCCTGCCTCGGCCTCCCAGCTAGGATTACAGGTGTGAGCCACTGCGCCTGGCCTTGGAGCAGTACTCTTAATGAAACTCATTACTATGCCTGCAGGGAAATACTAAGCCTGAATATTCATATTAAACTGGATAAAGATAATAAATACCTCATCAGTCCAGGTCAGGTTTTGCCACCAAATAAGTTTGGTGCCTCTCTGAGAAAGAGGACAACATTGAATATAAGAAAAAGTGGTAATTATATCTAAAACCAAGTGAATGTGAAAATAAAAGAAGAATCATTTGCTTTTACCACTCTGATATGATAAAACTCACTTTCCACAATATAAGATTACATTTCTTCTTTTTGAGTCCAATCAACTTAGTTTTGTTGTTAGTAATGCCTACATAATCATATTGATAATAGGGAATAAATGTTTATTTACTCTTCAATTTTTTGACTAAATTTTAGAGCTGAAGACATGAATGCTTTGGCCTCCACATCTAGAAGGTCTTGGAAATTATTCTCAAACAGAGAGATACAATCGATTGTATTTTCTTATATAGCACTCAATGAGTATTTAAGCCAACAAACACTACATTGACTATAGGACACTTTAACAACCAAGGAAGGAGATTCAAATGGTTTTTTTTTTTTTTTTGAGACACAGTCTCACTCCATTGCCCTGAGTGCTGTGTCACACGTCAGTCTAGCTCACAGCAACCTCAGACTCCTGGGCTCAAGCGATTATTTTGCCTCAGCCTCCCAAGTAGCTGGGACTACAGGCATGCGCCACGCATGGCAATTATATATATTTAGTTGTCCAGCTAATTTCTTTCTATTTATTTTATTTTATTTTTATTTTTTTTTTGTATTGAAAAGAGGGGAAGGGGTAAGGGGATTTCCAAGCACTTCATCTTTGCAATTGCGGTTTCTCATTTTTTTTTGTGGAGACAGAGTGTCACTCGGCGTCCTGGGCAGAGTGCAGTGAGGGCGGGTCACCACAAGCTCCAGGTCCTGGGCTGTGAGCGATCCTTCTGCCTCAGCCTCCCAGGTAGCTGGGACTACAGGCGCTTGTCAGAGCACCCGGCTGTTTTGTGTTTTGTGTATTTTTTTTGCCTTTTTTACTTTTTTTTTTTTAGATTAGAGACGGGGTCTGACTGTGCTCAGGCAGTGTTCAGGCTGGTGTCGAACCCCTGAAGCAACAGCTATCCGCCCGTCCCGGTCTCCCAGAAAGGTAGGACGACAGGCGTGAGCCACCGCGCCCGGCTCTATTTATTTTTATTAGAGACGGGGTCTCACTCTTGCTCAGGCTGGTCTTGAACTTCTGAGCTCAAATGATCCAATTTGCCTGCCTCGGCCTCCCAGAGTGCTAGGATTATAGGCATGAGCCACCACCCCTAGCTCAAATGTTTTTTACAGTTGCCTTACAGACTGGTACTTTTATTTTATGGCATGAATGAATTCTGAAATGGGAAACAGCTGCTGTATTCTAGAGTTACAACAACATTAAAATGATTTCAATGGTTTCCTAAAAATTTTGTAAATCTATTTAAAAATATTGCTAATATTAAGTGGTGATGGAGAAATGACATACTTATGCTTCCTATTTATGGGAGTGTGAACTGATGTGCACTTTCTGAAGGGATGAAATGCAATCTACCATAGTTTACTAGGTGTGAACAGTTTGTCTCAGCTGTCCCTCCTCTAAAAATCTGCCATGAAGAAATACTTGTAGAAGTGCTCAGGGATATATAATACATAAATAAAACATGTCAATGTTCATTAAAACTTTTTTATATAATAGAAATAAACTGGAGGCAAACTTAACGTTCATTAGTTGGGTTACAGAATAAATTATAGTACATCCACATTATGGAAAACTTGGCATCTGTTAAAAAGAATGAGGGCAATCTATATAAATTGAAATAGAAGGATGTTTATGATAATAAAAAGCAGGAAAATCAAGAATTATGTATAATAGGATACAATTTTTATAAAAAGAAAAACCCAACTATATGGTCTAATATAACCATATAATGAGACTTGCACATTTTTAGAATTCCATTGGTCCTGAATACAAACAGGCAAATGTGTTTTGGAGATTAAAATAATTTCAGAACTGTGGGGTAAAGAACCACTTACCTGTTGAATTTAACAGCAAGGCCCAGGTCAGCAATACAGCAACTTCCATTTTTCTTGATGAGAATGTTTTTGCTCTTTAGGTCTCGATGAGCAATTGCAGGCTTCCCCTGCGTGCCGTAAATTTCTGTGTGAAGGTGGCACAGACCACAGGCAGTTGAATACGCCAACTTGAGCAGGGCTCTGGTGTCCAGTGTAGCACATTTTAGGAAGTCATAGAGAGATCCATTTTCATGGTAATCAGTAATCAAATAGAGCTGAGTCCAGGAACCTGTACCTTTAATGTCTGCTGCTATAAAACCTGTCCAATTAATGAGTTTAAAAGGTTACTTTCAGAGATGGCTACCAAGAATAAATGCTCGTTCAGGATACTGAGAACAACTCAGGTATCATGTAAAGATAATAAAAATGTAATTTCTACTATTTATAACTATACTTTTATATCAAATTTACAATAATTCTAATAATTATGAAACTGATAATAATATGACCAAGAAAAAGATCACATATTATATAACTAACCAGGGGAATATTAGCAATCTACAGGATTCTCTAGTAGAAAAGGTTCTCAATTTCAAATCAAAAAGTGGACACTTTAATAAACTTAAAACTATTCAACCAAGAGTAGGCTTGTTTGCCCGTCAGTGACTCATGATACCTGCCTTTTCAGTCAGCTCCCTGACTACCAAGTCCACAATACTGCTCGTTTCTTTTTTACTTCTTTCCTCCTCTCTCCCTTCAGCAAGAGTTCAGTGAGTGCTGTGCTGAGTTCAATAGTGTCCCCACAAAGTTCATGCCCACCTGGAACCTATAAATTGACCTTATTTGGAAAAAGGATCTTTGCAGATATATTCAAATTAAGATGAAGTCATACAAGATTAGGGTGTGCCCTAATTAAATGACTGGTGCTCTTTTAAGATGGAACTGTGGGTGCAGGCACATAGGGGAGAAGGCCATGTGATGACAGAAACAGAGACTGGAGTGTTGTCTATAAGCCAAGGGTCACTAAAGACTGCTGGCAACCACCAGGAGCCAGCAAGGAAGGACCCTCCCCCCTGGGGCCTCCAAAGAGAGCATGGCACTGACAACACCTTGGTTTTGAACTTCCAGCCACCAAAACAGTTCTGCTGTTTTAGGCCACCCAGTTCATGGTAATTTGGTACAGCAACCCTGGAAAACTAATACAAGTGCCCACTACATGCTGGAAAGGTGCATGTACTCTCAAAATTAACAGTAGGAAAACAGCAGCTGAAAAGAAATTAGACTCAAGATAGCTAGATGAGTGTATGCACCCTACTGATCAGATCATATCTAAGTTATTTTGCCATTGTGTAAATGGGGAGGGGAGAGGAACACATACGCACAGAACATAAGATGAAGCCCCATGTTGGGTTGCTGAGCTTACCAAAGGCAAAAGGCACAGAGTTGATGTCACCCTAGAAAACAGCTTCAATTATCTATAAAAACCTTGGTCTTCATTACTACAGGAGTAAGTCTAAGAAACTAGTATTTCTTTCCATTTGAAACTCACTGCTCATTTTTTCGGTGGTTAGTAAAAAAAGTGGTTGGCATTCAGAACTGTGTTGTATTTAAACTGTGTATTCTACTGGATTTCCTTTAGACAAACCCATATAGTTGAATCCGTATGTTTTCAAAGCACATATGGCAGGCTTCTAGCTGCACCCCACTAACCCTGTCAGATATGGAATTGACCCAATCAATGTGTACCCACCAAGGATGTTTTCATGGCGCATTAGCACAGTTTGGTAGATTTCTGTTTCTCGAAACCAGCTAGCTTCTTCAGTGGTAAAGAATACTTTGACTGCCACTTTTTCACCACGCCATTTACCCATCCACACTTCTCCATATCGGCCTTTACCAACTTGCCGAACCATCTGAATCTGTTTGGCAATAGTTCGCTGAACCTTCAAGAAAAAAAAAAAATGGTTTTGAGCTCTTGATAAAAAGAGCCTATTAAGACTGACAAAGGGGTCTTGACGGCCCATTCCACCAAAAAGCATGGTATATCCAACAACCAACATCAATTTTAAAACTTATAATGTGCTTAAAAGCATGAAACAATATGCAATGTATTCTGAAGTTATAAACTAATAGGTTGGTCAATGTAGTAGAATGGTCATAATAACTTGCCTCCCAGTACATGCAGCCTGGGGTGGTCTTCCCTGCAGACTCCGGAAATGGCCGTATGACTTGCTCTGGGCAACAGAACAATAGCAAATGGGATGCAAGCAAAGACTTGACAACTGTTTATGAAGTGAGGCTTGCCTTTTTTGTTTTTTGGGAACCCTGTGACCAAGGGACAGCACCCTTGGAACTGCCAGCCAAACGTGCCAACTCTATCACCTAGATGTAGTTGAGAAGGCCAGAAAAGGAACTGCCCAGTGGTCTACACCCACAAAACCATGAGAAACAGTAAATGTTTGTTGCTTCAAGGCACTAAGTTTTGTGGTGGTTTATTATGTAGCAAAATGTAAACGATAGTTAAAAATCTTCAACTCAGCCTTTAAGATTCTACATGATCTGGGCCAGGCGTGGTGGCTCATGGCTATAATCCTAGCACTCCGGGAGGCCAAGGCGGGAGGATGGCTCAAGGTCAGGAGTGCAAAACCAGCCTGAGCAAGAGTGAGACACTGTCTCTACTATAAATAGAAATAGATTAATTGGCCAACTAATATATATAGAAAAAAATTAGCCGGGCATGGTGGCGCATGCCTGTAGTCCCAGCTACTCAGGAGGCTGAGGCAGTAGGATTGCTTGAGCCCAGGAGTTTGAGGTTGCTGTGAGCTAGGCTGATGCCACGGCACTCTAGTCTGGGCAACAAAGTGAGACTCTGTCTCAAAAAAAAAAAAAAAAAATCCTATGAGCACTTAATATTGTCAGTTTTTGCCATATTAGTGGATGTACCGTAGTATCTCATTGCATTTCATTTGCATATGCCTGAGATAGTGAACAATGTCTTTCCATGAGCATATCTGCCATTCTTACATCTTCTTTGGGAAAGTGTTCAAATCTTTTGTCCATTTAAAAAAATTGGGATGTCTTATTGAGTTGTAAAAGTTTGTTATATATTCTGCATACAAACGCTTTATCAGATCTTTTCTTGACAGTCTGTGATTTCTCTCTTCATTCCCTGTCCTTCTCTCCTCTTTCTCTCTCTCTTCTTAGAGACAGGGTTTGGCTCTCTTGCCCGGGCTGGAGTACAGTGGCACCACCATAGCTCACTGCAACCTCGAACACCTGGGCTCAGGTGATTCTCCCACCTCAGTTTCATCCGTAGCTGGAACTGCAGGCACATGACACCACATCCAGCTAATTTTTAAAAATACTCTGTAGAGAGGTGAACTCCTGGCCTAAGTGATCCTCTTGCTTCAGGCTCACAAAGTGCTGGGAATACACAGCAGTGCCCAGCCTCATTTTCTTAACAGTGTTTGTGGAATAGCAGAAGCGTTAAATTTTGACAAAGTTCGATTTATCATTTTAAAAAATGATTTACACTGTGTGCTGAGAAGTCTTTGCTCAAACCAAATTCACAATAATTTTTCCAACATTTTCTTCTAGAGGTTTTATACTTTGACTTTTACGTTTAGATTTATGCTCCATTTTTTTGTATACATAGAGTGAGGTAAGGTCGAGATCCACTTTTTGGCAAATGCATGCCAGACTGCACCATCTGTTGAGTACATGGTCATTATGCCACTGAATTACTTTGGCAACTTTGTAAAAAAAAATCAGTTAACCATGTATGTGTGTGTCCCCTTCTAGACTCGATATTTTGTTCCATTGATTAATATGTCTATCCTGGCCAGGTGTGGTGGCTCATGCCTATAAACCTAGTACTCTGAGAGGCTTGAGGCAGGAGGACTGCTTGAGGCCAGCCTTGGCATCATAGCAAGATCTTGTTTCTACTAAAATAAAAAATAAATAAATTTAAAATATACTTTTTTTTTTTGAGACAGAGTCTCGCTCTGTTGCCCAGGCTAGAGTGCCGTGGCATCAGCCTAGCTCACAGCTACCTAAAACTTCTGGGCTCAAGTGATCCTCCTGCCTCAGCCTCCCAAGTAGCTGGGACTACAGGCATGTGCAACCATGCCCAGCTAATTTTTTTTTTCTATATATTTTTAGTTTGCCAATTAATTTCTTCCTATTTTTAGTAGAGATGGGGTCTCACTCTTGCCCAGGCTGGTTTCAAACTCCTGACCTTGAGCAATCCTCCCGCCTGGGCCTCCCAGAGTGCTAGGATTACAGGTGTGAGCCACCGTGCCTCGCCTAGCCTTAAAATATACTTAAAAAAAATTTTTTTTAAATTCAAGTTTAAATATGTCTATCTATGTACCATACATACTATGCTAATTATTATAGCTTTATAGTAAGTACAGAATCAGGTAATAAGTTCTTTTTGTTCTACTTCAAAGCTGTTTTGTTTATCTTCTGCATTTTAATATAAATGTTAGAATAAGCTCATCAATTTCTATGAAAGTTTGCTCTAATTTTGACTTGGATTGAAATTAAATTACATATTAATTTGAGGAAAATGGAAATCAATAATATTGAATCCTCTGATTCATACATACCTCCATTCTTTTTAGGTCTTCGTTAATTTCTTTCAGCAATGTTTCCTAATTTTCAGTGTACAGGTCTTGTACAAATTTTGTTAAGCTTATTTCTAAATATTTCACGTATTTTGTTATTTTAAGTGATATTGCTTTTTTTTAAAAAAATTTGTTTATTTATTTTAGCGTATTATGGGGGTACAAGTGTTAAGATTATGTATATTGCCCATGCCCCACCTCCCCCCTTGAGTCACAGCCTCAAGCGTGACCATCCCCCAAAAGGATATTGCTTTTTAAATTTCAATTTATAATTGTGTGTTGCTAGTGTATATAAATTCAATCATATGTGTATAACAATCTTGTATTCTGCAACCCTATAAACTCATTTATTAGTTGTAGTAGTTTTACTGTACCATTCTTGGGATTTTCTACATTAACAATCATTTGTCTACATATGAAGATGAAGACAGTTTTACTTTCAACTTTTCCAATTAAATTACAGAATTATTTAGTAAGATAAATTTTAAAACTAGAGATCAATGTGTATTTACTTTCAACTAATGCAGTTACACAACTAAAAACATATGTTCTGTTATAGAGTAAAATAGAGTCCTCTTAACCTCTAAATCTGAATATTTCCACATATAAAACCTGCTGGAATTATTTACAACCAACTTTAAAATTATTTTTATTGAATTTGTGTTTTGGTTATATAGTACTACATCGACAGAAGTATCTTCTCTACGAAGATCTATGGGAGAAACTTCTCTTTTGATTTTAGAATCTGAAATAGTTAAATATCCCTCAACCAATCAGTTTAAGTTTATAATGCAAGGAAACTGACACTTGATTCCTCTTCAAGTTGGCCGTTAAAATGCTTAGAGCAAAACTTGTGAGCTAACTCTTGCCCTTACACATACATAGGACTTTCAACTCTCTACAGGACTTTTTTCTAACCTTGCTTATGGTTCTATCTTACTTGCCTATTCTATTTTTCTTGGTTCATCTATTTATTTATTTTTAACTAATATCATCTTTCAATACTGCATACATCTTTCTAAATAAGGAGAAAACAATGCGTCTAGTGTTGCTCCCTAATCTGCAATGGTTGTGCCGTCCACCATCATCTGAGGACACTTTCCGTACCTACACCCCATTCAGGTGTACATGAAATTTTAACTTACCAATAAAGGTAGTCCAGATCCACTACCAGAACTTTGTGACTGGTCAATAAGGTCTTTTAATGATTCTCCAACTGGAATAAACGCTTCATCCTGTTCCAAGTCACGATTATAACGACGTCTGCTTGAGATGCTCTTGCAATAATGTCTTTTTAAAAAGCAGAAAACAATCTACGTTAAAATTCTAAAACTATAAAATTCTGAGTTAAAAAAACTGAGGTCTTCTACACCATCATCCTTCCTTCAGAAGGAATCATATCCAATTTAGTTTATCCTAGGATAATGTATCCTCTGTAAAAATATACCAAAAATAGACTTTATGAGGTAGAATTCTCTATATCATGTTAAAATGGGAAGATATCTATGATGTATTGGCAAGTGAAAAAAACAAACCAAAATCAAGATATAAAGCATCATCCTAACTATAAAAAATTAGAGATAATGTATTTTTACATGTCTAAAAAGATCAGAGAGGATATATAGCATAGGGATATTTACTTGCTACTTCTCATATATATTTTTATTTGAATTTATAACTATGTATTTTCATATTAAAATGAATAAACATATTGCTATTATAACAAAGGGAAAATGAGTGGAAAAGAAACCAAACACATTCTCTTAATTTGTTCTGATATTTTTGAAGGTCTATTTAAAATTTCAAATTATGAAATATTCCAAACAGACAGGAAGGTAGAGATTAACTGGCACCCATGTATAGACCATTTTAGTTAATTAATATTAACATTATGGTATATTTATTTTAGATATATTTTAAATAAATAACCATTAGAAATATTTGAAGCTCTAGCTATTTCTCTGATAATTCCATTTCCCTCTTTTTCACCTAAGAGAAAATCACTATCCTGAGAGTTTTTATACCCTTCTTATGTATTTATACTTTTACTATACATGTATATATTCAAGAACAATGTCATTTCTCTATAGAAAAATTTACATAAATGGCATACATTGTATTAATATTTTATATCTTGATTTAAAAACCCCTCATGTTTCACAAATTTATCCATGTTGATAGCTCGTTTTTACTGATTTGAGTGTGTCAGACTTTGTTCTATGACTCAGTTCATTTTTACAAAACCCCTAAGAAGTATTTACAAAACCCCTAAGAAGTAAGAACTATTTTTCTATTTTACGAATGAGGAAATCACAACAAACAGGTGCATCACTGGACCTGAGTCAGACAGCTGCCAAGTGGTGAGGCTGGGATCCAAACCCAGAGGCCCAGTGCTCAAACCCACAGTGTTGGTTATTACGAATTCTTCCAAGGAAATGACTTAAATGGTGCCTACTGTTCCTGTTATGAATTTGCCACAACTTACCCTGACGGCCATAGTTCAGTTATTTCCAAAAATTTGTATATGTTAATATAAATGGTGCTGTAATAAATGTTTTTGTGCCTATTCACTTGTGCAGATGTATGAAAATTTCTTGAAAGTATACATAACTTCAATTTTATAGATATCACCAAACTTCTCTCCAAAGTAGATTTTATACTCCCACTCAAAAGATAATATATCACACTATCCATTTCCTTACAGTCTAATACACACTATGAACTGTCATATTTTTAGATTTTTGCCAATTTCATGGGTATGAAACACTGCCTTATTTTATTTATTTATGTATTTTCTTATTTTATTTTTTTGAGACAGAATCTCACCCTGCTGCTCCAGCTAGAGTGCCATGGCATAAGCCTAGCTCACAGCAACCTCAAACTCCTGGGCTCAAGTGATCCTTCTGCCTCAGCCTCCTGAGTAGCTGGGACTACAGGTACACACCACCGTGCCCGGCTAATTTTTTCTATATATTTTTAGTTGGCCAATTAATTTCTTTCTATTTTTAGTAGAGACGGGGTCTCGCTCTTGTTCAGGCTGGTTTCGAACTCCTGATCTTGAGCGATCCTCCCACCTCGGCCTCCCAGAGTGCTAGAATTTACAGGTGTGATACACCACGCCTGGCCAAGACTGCCTTATTTTAATTTGCTTTCCCTAAGTTCCTAGTGAGGTTGAATTTTTTTTCCCTCGTGGTTCATAGTTTTTCTGTTAGTTGCCCATTTCATACATCTCTTGCATGTTATTCAATTAAGGTGTTTAATCTTTTTTCTTTATTGATTCATAGGAATTCTTTATATAGTCTGGACACCAAATCTTTGATAATTACACGTTACCACAATCATCCCTCAATCTGTGATTGTCATGGCATTCTATTATAGTATTTTATGTCAGTTTTTAATTTTAATATAGGCAAATTAATCATTCTTTTTCCTTTTTTTTTTTTTTTGAGACGAGTTGTACTCTGTTGCCCAGGCTGGTGTGCAGTGATTGATCATTGTGGCCTCAAACTCCTGGGCTCAAGTGATCCTCCTTCCTCAGCCTCCAGAGTAGCTGGGACTACAGGCATATGCCACCATGCCCAGCTAATTTTTTTTAAAATATATATATTTTTTAAGTTGTCCAGCTAATTTCTTTCTATTTTTTTAGTAGAGACGGGGTCTCGCTCTTGCTCAGACTGGTCTTGAACTCCTGAGCTTAAACGACCCACTGGCCTCCACCTTCCAGAATGCTAGGATTACAGCCATCAAGCCTGGCCCTAAATTTCTTTATGTACTTGGGTCTATTTATGAGTTTACTAACCTGTTTCAGGGATCCCCTATATTCTGTAAGTATGATAATGTTTCATTATTGAAGTTCATATACACAAAAGGGGCCACCTCTTCTTATTACTCTTTATATTTTGGCAATTGTCTTCTGAAATCATGACTAAATACAAATAGTTCAGAAGCCCCAAATTACTAAAAAACTATAATATAGCTGGTTTCTTGGGACAGGTTTAAAAGTTCATACATAAGAATGAAAAGTTCATACATAAGAAAATCACAAGTATTCATGAACATATAAGAAGTATAAAATTGTGTCCAATTAACTAATTGGTAGTAAGGTCCTCTTTTCTTTAAGATAACTCTAATCTAGTTAAAGAAAATATATAGTCAGAGAATACAAAAGCTAATGATTTATACAACTGGCTTTAAAAACTGTTGATATATATAGCATTCAACAAAATGTTTTGGATCAAATAAATATCTTACTTGTAACAAAAGCAGCTAGAGAAGATGATCATAGCAATTATGCAGACAGCCATAGAAATGAGCAAAACCAGCCACCGAATGCTGCCATCAAATGGACCTGTCAATGGAAGTAAACAATCAAGTAAACATACTATCTTTCTATCGCATCTTATTAAATGTAGAAAATAATTTGTGTTATTAAAATTCCAGGGGGCTTGGTTATTGTTAAAAGCAGAGAAAATATCTTACTGAGTATCCTGCTCAAACTTTTCTTGGCTAACATACCTATAACAACAGGGGGCAGTGTAGGTTGCAAATACTGGTTACATAAATTTGTCCGACAACATTCTATTGTCCGGCGTAGCTGGGCTTTTGGGGAATCCTAGAAGAAAAGTAATGTTAAAATTAGAAATGATTTGATATATTAAATTCATAATGAACTTTTTTAGTATTCGTGAAATATAATTTCTAATTCAGTGAGTGAAAACAACCTGCAAATTTCTTATGTAAGAGATTATCAAAAAATTAAAATTTGTGCTGACTTAGTGTTGCAAAGACTATAAAACGTTCTTTTTTTTGAGACAGAGTCTCACTCTGTTGCCCAGGCTAGAGTGCTGTGGTGTCAGCCTAGCTCACAGCAACCTCAAACTCCTGGGCTCAAGCAATCCTTCTGCCTCAGCCTCCTGAATAGCTGGGACTACAGGTATGCACCACTATGCCCGGCTAATTTTTTCTATACATTTTTAGCTGTCCAAATAATTTCATTCTATTTTTTTTAGTAGACACAGGGTCTTGCTTTTGCTCAAGCTGGTCCTGAACTCCTGATCTTGAGCGATCCACACACCTCAGCCTCCCAGAGTGCTAGGATTACGGGCGTGAGCCATCATGCCGGGCCTAAAATGTTCTTTTTTAAAGAAGTTATCTATGAGGATGGTGTGTTAGAACACTAGATTATAACTCGATTACAGATAAACCAAAGTTTAAAAGTGTTTTCATTCCAAATTTCAGCATATCTTAACAAATTTAGTTTTTTAGTGAAAAAGATCATGAGATCTTTTCCTAAAACATATAGGTAATAAATTTTATTATAATCATAAACTAGTCTATAAAGATGATCTCATAGTAGTACTAAGACTTGGATGAGACTTAAGATCAGCCTAGACTTAAGATCAGCCTAGTCTTAGGACTAGGATTTTCCTAGTCCTAAGAAAGGGTGGTTAAGAGCTGGGTTCAGTAGCTACTCAGAAGGCTGAGGCTGAAGGATCATTTGAGGCCAGAAGTTTGAGGCTACAGTGAGCCATGACTGTGTCTGTGAACAGCCAATGCAGTCCAGTCTGGGCAACATAGTAAGACCGTTTCTCTACAAAAAAAGAAAGAAAGTAAAAGAAATGAAAAGGCTGGTTAAGAGAAGTGGTTGAGTAGGTAGAGGATACTGTAAATCATAAATCCGTATATCAACTATGTCATAATTATAGAGCCTTTACCTCCTTCAGAGCTTCTTAAAAAAAATAATTAAAGAGCCTGATGTGGAAGCAAGTTGAAGCATACGTGGTGAGGGAAGTGCAAACTACAGAAACTATTAGAGACCACCAACCAGACAGGAGCTGCATCCCCAACAGATCAGGAAACCAAGCAGAGAAAGGCTGTAGTCACGGGAACAGATATTAACAATTATGTGTAATGTTTTATTTGATTTACAGTACATTATCTGACAAGTTGAATGCTGACATTTCAGCACTGCCTGGGAGAATTTCCATTCTGGACCAAAATACTAATAGAAAGAAACTATTTGTTATTCTAAAAGTAGTAACAGGCCGGGCACGGTGGCGAAACCAGCCTGAGCAAGAGCAAGACCCCGTCTCTACTATAAATAGAAAGAAATTGAGATACCATCTCTGAGGCTCATACCAACCTAGAAAGGAAATTCAATTGGCCAACTATAATAGCCCCCTATATACAAGAAAAATTACCGGCATGGTGGCGCATGCCTGTAGTCCCAGCTACTCGGGGAGGCTGAGGCAGGAGGATGCTTGAGCCAGGAGTTTGAGGTTGCTGTGAGCTAGGCTGACGCCACGGCACTCACTCTAGCCTGGCAACAAGTGAGACTCTGTCTCAAAAAAAAAAAAAAAAAAAAAGGAGAAAGAGTTAATTTTTAAGTATTCGATTTCCAAAGCATTAAGGCATGCCTCGACGTCGTCACGCACGCTACCTGTAGCAGAATGTTTAGCAAATCCGAGCTATGGATCCGACCATGCCAGCTAGCGTCGATTCACAAGAAAAGTCATATCTTTTTTTTTTTTTTTTCTTTCTTCTTTTTAGGCCAATTACAAGATGGAAGGAAAGTCATATCGTCATTTAGACACCTGTTTGACGTAAGAAATCCTTTTCACTCTGACATAGGAGTTCTCCTGTTGCTTGTTCTGTTGTATTCTAAATTCCATCTCCAGTAGGACGTCTAAATTGCCCAATGCTGACTATATGTAGTTGTCATGGCTAGGGTATTCGGGCAAAAGTTTCTCAATTAACAATAAATCGTGTGCCTTGGATACCAACCCCATTGGCTAGTGGTACGCCCGCCACCTAACACGCGCGGCGCCAGCTGACATAGAGTTCTCCATTGGCCTTTAATCTGTAGTTCAGGCATAGCTTTCATCACCTTAAAACCTATTTGGCTAGAATGAGAAGATACAATAAAGAGATAGACAGATTCTAATTCCAAAAACAAGAAAAAGAAGGAAAACAGAAAGTAAACAAAAAATAGAAAGAATGATATGAAGACTCAACACCCCCATTTCATTAGTACTCTCTGATCGTCACAGAGTTATGGTTTTTTTCTCTTTTAGAATAATGCGCACATTGTTTCTGCATCACTAGAAGCAAAGTGACCAGGGAGAACCGACATTCAGCTTCCAGGGTGTATGAATATGGAAGCGATCTGATTTTCCAGTGCAAGGTAAGATCTGATTTCGAGACCCCCAGGAGGCTAAAGACGGGAGGGGCCATATGGAGAGCATTGATGCTTCTCCAAGAGAAATGTGCTTACCGATCTACCCACAGTCTGCTATACTGGCGCACTATCATGCGTACAAATGTGTGAGAGGAAGCTGAGCTCTTACTTCAGAGTATGCTGTGGTAGTTGAAGTTCCGGATTATCTTTATTTTCTTTTTAATTTTCTATTTTACTTTCTGAGACAGAGTCTCTCTCTGGTTGCTCGGGCTACCAGTGCAGTGGCATCAGCCTTGCTCACACGCTAACCTATCAAACTCCTGGGCTCAAGCCATCGTCTTGCCTTAGCTCCCGGGTATACCTGGCGACTGAAGGCATGTGCCACCGAATCCGCCACGAGGGCTAATTGTTTTCTATTTAGTTGCCTCGGATACCACTTTCTTTCTATTACTTAGTAGAGGGGGGTTTCACTTCTTGCTAAGCGCTGCGTCTCAAACTCCGTGACTCACGTGATCCTCCTGCCCTCTTCCCTCTCTGAGTGCTAGGA